GTCTTTTAATTTCATGGCTGCAATCACCATCTGCAGTCATTTTGGAACCCAAAAAAATAAAGTCTGACACTGTTTCCACTGTTTCCCCATCTATTACCCATTAAGTGATGGGACCAGATGCCGTGATCTTAGCTTTCTGAATGTTAAGCTTTAAGCCAACTTTTTCACTCTCCTCTTTCACTTTCATCAAGAGGCTTTATGTATACTTGCGGTTAATTCATGTTGATGTATGGCAAATCAAACCAATATTGTAAAGCAATCGTCAATCAATTAAAAATAAATAAATAAAATTTAAAAAAAAAAACAGATCAGACAGAAAGGTGCACTGCAGCCTCCGGCAGGAGCTTTTCTCTTTGCGTCTTTCTCGGTCCTCACAAAGGTCACCCCTACCACGGCGTCCCTTTGCCCTTCTTCTGAGGCCTTGACTCCACTGGGCTTTTAACCGGCTGAGGCTGTCCGCTGTCCGGATTGCCCTGATGACTCGTTCCTCCCCTCACCACACCCGCCCACCCCTGTCCCCCACATGACACATCCCGGGCCCCTCATCCAACTGACAACAACCCACCAACCACATGGGGCCTTTGCCTTCCCTGGAACAGGGGGCAGTGGTGTTGGCCCCACCAGGTCTTGTCCTGCAGCTGCCTTCGAGCTGTTCCCTGCTCAGATGGGACTCACCACCCCAGGGGGCCTGCTCCTCACCCCAGCGCAGCCAGTGCCACCCGATGACTCACGGTCCTGGGAGGGAGAGCACCCAAGCCTCGAGGGGCCGTTCCTGCGGGGTGATGCTCACCCTGGGCTCCGGAAGCAGGTGGAGCTGGTCTCAGCTGAAGCCAAGCTTGTCCAGCACTGCCCCACCCCCCCACCGCCGGCCTGAGGCTTGCCCTCTGCTCATCACCTGAAGTAGGATGCCCTCCTTCCTAAGAGAGTTGGAAACCGACTCCAGTGCGGGGGTCTCACCGGCTGGACACAGGTGGGGACTTCCTCTGAGGTCACTGGTTGGGGACAGAGGTCAGGCAGGTGCATCGGTGGGTGCAACGTCTCTGCATTTTTCCAGGATGGGATCCGTGAGCATGAGGACACAGAGCTGGGGCAGAGGCTAAGTGCCACCCACCCGCCGAAGAGACAAAATGACAGACCGACCAGCCAGCAGTTTAAAGACAAATCTGACGCAGTTGTACTCGCACTCCCACCAACAGCAGGCAAAGAGTTCCTCACTGGGGCATCTGGGGGTCAGACACAGGGTGACATGGCCGAGATGCCAGCCACCTGGTGATGGCTTATGGACAGAGTAGCCACATGTGACCCTGCAGCCTAGGCGCCATGCCCCAAGGCCAGTCAGACATGGTCAGGGCAGGAGGACAGCCTGCCAGCCAGAGGCCGGCACTGAGCCCCAGCATGGAGTGCCCTTGAGGGAGTCCAACCAGCCACTTCTAGCAAGTCAGTTGGATGGGACACCCCCACCCTGGAAGGGACAGGGCTCCACCTGACCAGGATGGACACAGAATCTGGGCGTGGGCTTTCTCTCATCACAGGCACATGGCCGCCATCGGAGGGCTTACAGAGGTTGGGCCCTCAGCCTGGGGATCTGGATGATGTCACTGGACCTCGGGAGCATCCTCACAGCAGAGGGCCCTTGCCCCTTCACGTCTGCCCGCACGCACACGCACACATACACATATACATACACATGCACACACTGTTCCAAACTGTCCATAGTTGAATGGACCACACACAGAGGGAAAAGCTTCATTTTTCCTTTGCCAGACATCTACACAGTCAGACTCACTTCACCTCTGAATTCATGCATCTGCTCCCGGACTGCAGGCCTTGGGGTTTCTGCAGATGCTGCAGAGGAGATGGTGAAGGTCGGGCTCCAGGGGAGCGGCCTGGGGATCCTGCTGTCAGCCCGCTGCCGCACAAAGACAGGAGCCACAGACCCAGAACTATGACACAGAGCGCATGTTCTGTGTGGGCCACGGAGAAGGGCTAAGGACTCATGGGTCAGGTCAGAGAGTGCTTCTCTTTAAAATGAAAATAAGACACAGTCTCCAAGGTCGATGCTGTTACCATCCCGAGACTCAGGAAGACGAGAGCCACGGGCAACTTGTCAGTTACATGGCCTGGACTGACACCCAGATGTCCTACGCCCACAGGCCTGAGACCACAATGGAAAACAGGCTGGCGCACAGCCAGGGGTCTGCGTGTTGTCGTCGTGTGGGCCTCGGTCTGAAGGCGGCACTGAGGCAGGGAACGAGCGCCGTGGTCTCTGAGTTCAGCACAGCTCACCTGGGATCAAAGGATGTGAAGCAAGGTCTCTGAACTCAGGGAAGATTCAGTCCCAGAACCCCTACTTAGTGAAAAAGCCAGAAATGTGAATAAAGCAGATGCAGGGTAAAACACACAGGCTCTGATGCAGGTGGAACTCCCGGCATACTGCAGGCGTGAGGGGCGGCCGCCGCAGCAGCTGAGCCGCCCGAGGAGGACGGCACAGGAAGGATGCTGGTCAGAGCCCTGTGTCCCCACCGAGCTGACAGCGGCCCACCTGGGGGCTGGGAGGTATCTCGGAGCCCCGCGGGCCTGGGAGGGACCACAGATAGCAGGTCTGCGCTGCAGAGCAGTCGCAATGGTAATTTAATTTGCTCTCAAGATGATTGCAGGAACAGCTACTCTGTCTGCACAGCTCATTTTCCTAAACAAAACTTGGCGATGGAGATCAGGATCTGACAGACGGTTGGCTTCTGGGAAGGAAGGGCATTTGAAGGATACGCCTTCAGAATCTCCCAGGAGGGCAGAGCTCACTTTTAGGAACCGAGATGTAAGCACAGCTGTAAACAGACAATCATACCTTCCAAAAAGAGTCCCTTCCTCGGTGCCGCAGGCTAGGACCACGTGCATAGAGCCCAGCGCCTGAGGGCTGCACACAGTAGGTGCTTAATAACAGCGCTTGAGACTAAAGTGAACTCACTAAGAGCAATGAGCAAATGACTTACGATTTATCTAACAGGCCACAAAAATGGGCAAGGATGGTAAAAAGATGACAGTGGTTGAGCCGATCCCAACTACCTTCGAGCCCCAATGCTGGTTGTATCTCCTGTCCGGGGTATAATGCCTTTCTGGGGGATTAAGAGTAAGACTGACCTCGGGGTGAGTTTCTTTGGAGACTTTACTGCCACTCTGTGGAGACCAGTCTGACTGGTACTGAGTTTCTCAGTATCCTCCGGACAGAAGCGGCTGGGACAGAGCTTGAGAGAGTCCCCCAGCAGCGTCACCGAGACAAGCCCGACCGGCGTGCAGGACGGGCGCATCCAAGGTCTCCGGGAACGGTGGTGGATGTCCCTGTCCACGCACATGCCTGCATCCACATCCCCCTCCTCACGGGCATGAGCGACATCTGTCCAGAATCCAAGCCCCATTCCCTCCACTCAGCCAAACCTGTGAGAGCAGAAAACAGAACCACAGTGGCTCGTTTCTGAAGAAAGTCATAGGCGTCAGCTAGGGCACTTCAGGGACACGCCCATCAGGAAAGAGGATAAATACGGATCTTCAGCTTAATTCAGGCCCAAGGGAAAAGCTAAGACTTGGGGTTTGGCGTGAATTCAGAGTCTTTGTCTAGAAGGGCCTGTATTCGGCGATGCTTTTCTTCCTTGACTTTCTTTTATCTGTGGGTGAGCTTTTCTTCTCCTTGAACTTGCACAGGACGTTTCCTTGCTTAAGTGAGGCTGTTTGATCCCAAATTGCCTCGATCAGTGAGGGTCCTAGAGCGCACTGACAGGCACAGTAGTAAGCTAGAGCTCACCAACACCTCTTGAGATTTTTGTTTTTGACAAAAATTAGGTTTTTGTTGTTGCTTCTTTTCATTCAGTCACGAGGATGCTCATTTTGATTAAGGAATTTTATTTTGGAGAAGCAATCCTTCCAGACTCTGAGGAGACTAGAGACGGATGAAGAGAAAAAAGAGAGGCAGAAGAGAGTTAGGGAGGTTTCATGGAGAACTGGGAGAAGGCAATGGCACCCCACTCCAGCACTCTTGCCTGGACAATCCCATGGACGGAGGAGCCTGGTGGGCTGCAGCCCATGGGGTCTCGAAGAGTCGGACATGACTGAGCAACTTCACTTTCACTTTTTCACTTTCATGCATTGGATGGGGGAAGGCAATGGCACCCCACTCCAGCACTCTTGCCTGGAAAATCCCAGGGACGGGGGAGCCTGGTGGGCTGCCGTCTATGGGGTTGCACAGAGTCGGACATGACTGAAGCTACTTAGCAGCAGCAGCAGCAGCAGCATGAAGAACTCCAAGTGGGGAAGAAACGCTTTTAAAAGGGAGGAAGTTGTTTCTGTAGTTTTCCAGAATTCACTTAACGTGTGCAAAGATGGAGCTAGAAAACAACACAGCCTCGGGAGAAACTCTGCTCTGTGCTCAGGACAGTCAACATGGTTATTCCAGTTCCCTGCCCTGAGCTTAGTCCCCATAGTTGAACAACACGCACAGACACCCTCACCACATGTGTTGATCCACAGACTACAGCCAAGGCACATGCTTACATCCACATTCAGCACTTATGAGGCTGTTTGAATTGGCCGCAGTGGGCTCATACAGACCCACCTCAATCTTGAAGCTCTTGTGCCCACAGGACAACCAAGGTGGTCTGGGAATGAACCCCTAGCTTGAACATTTCAACTAACAACACAGCAGCAAGAAGTAGTCTGCCTTCTTGTGCAAGAAAACTAGCGGTGAAGCAGGATTCACTTGCAGCCCCAGGTACTTTCCGAGGGCAAGTGCTTCTCCAGATTTAATCCCTACAACAATCACCTAAATGGCCTCTGAAAATTCAGACTCCTGCACCTGCTCTACATACCCGGCTCTGCAGCTTTGGTAAAGGGTTCAAGAAATGGCATTTCAAAAAAAAAAAAAGAAATGGCATTTCATCAGATGTTGGTGGTGGTTCACGTGCAGCTGGTACTCAGGGCTCTGAGAAACCCAGGCTAGGTCTACACCTCACCCCACCACTCCCATCTCCCCAGGACCAGCAAGGTGCCCCTGGGGGAGACACTCAGCCTGCTCAGGTGCTCGTGTCCGAAGCGTGGGTGCTGACAACACAATAGACCAGAGATCAAGTACACGGCACAGGGGGCAGTAGTCCTGGGAAGAAGAGCCGCAGGGCCCCGGCTTCTGCACCCCAGGCCGGCACTCGTCCTTCCCTGCAGAGGCTGTGACTGGGGGTGGTCTTTCACTTGATCCCTCCTTGCAGATGAGGAGTGGCTCTGGGAGGCAGATCTCTTGGCCACAAGGCACAGAAGTGGCTGGAGTTGGAAGAGGAGGTGCTGACCCAGTCCGCAATCCACAGCACCCAGTGTGTTCCCCCTGTCAACAGCAAGACCCTGTAGGGTGATGGGACTGCCAGCTCCGTGGTAGACGCCTTGACCCTGGTGGATGGATTATGCCAAGAGCTGGCTCTGTAGCACGCCCGCACAAGCAGCATCGATGCCATATTCTGGACCTTTCTGGGTGGGGCGAAGGGATGCAGCAAGGTTTTCTTTAGCTTCCTCTCCTGACAACATGCATGATTCAGACAGAAGCCAAGAAAAGAGGTGACGTGAGCATGAAGCTCCTGGGGCCATGAAGACAGGAAGGAGCAGGATGACAGGTGCTCGGCCCGTGCCAACGCCGGGCGCCGCTCGGGCAGTGAGAACGCGCGTCTCCCTGCCCTCGGCTCAGCCTCTGAGAAGGACGGCTGGAGCTGCAGTCAAGACCCTGGATTAATGGAGCTCGAACGACTTCAAACACTGCTGAACAAGTTCTGACAACCTCTTGTGAAGTTTCTCCTCTGCCGGCTGGGTAAACAGCACACTGTCTCTTTAACTGATTTTTTTTTTCTTTTCTTTTCTTCTTTTTTTTTTTAAAGATTACATTTAATATCTATTTCCCAGCAGTGTACAAACTGACATCATCTACTCATAAAAGCAGAATGCTTTGCTTTTTTAAGCTTCAAGCTGAATAACAAATTGCCACAGATGACAGCATAAAAGAATAACAGAATGGAATCAAAAGAAAATTCATTGTCAACAGAAACCCCCTGCTGAGGAATTTCAATTTCATATATCTAATTATCCCTGTCAGTTGGAAGAACTGACAAAAAGCATTCTTTGTTCTCGTCTGCCTCCCGCATCTCACTCTCAATTAATTCCGGCATACAAATATGACTAATTGTCTTTGCAGCGCTCAAGAGCGCTGTATATAAATGTTCACGAACTGAAAATGATTTGCAGGGTATTCACGCACTGATTTATGATATCTGAACACAATAGACATGCATAATTCAGGTGACCACGTTCGCACCCTCCCACACCCGTATTACAGAGATTAAGCAAGATTCTCTTTTCACGTCCCTTTTTCATATCTGCTTTGTGACAATAACTCACTTTGCACCTATTAAAAGAGGAAGCATTATATGTCTGCTGTTGCTCATTGAAATTACCATGAACAAGATTATCAGCATTTAAATAACATACGGGCAGTGAAGTGACTTGGGGAGGAGGGTGGGTGGTGGGACCCGGGAAATAGTAGGGACTTTCAAAAAGCAAGACAAGATCTCTGTGTGAAGGTTAAAGTTTGAGGGTTTTATTTCAGCTTGTTGGTGTGGTTGGGGGATTTGCTTTGTGTTTTGTTTTGTTTTCCTTCTCTTTCTTTGCCCCTCCGTCATGACTGATTATTAAAATGCTTTTCAATTAATGTAGCTAAGGCTTTCCTTGTCTTCTTTAGTCAATTCAGGTAGCTTTCTCCCACTTTTTTCAACTTCAGCAACTTAAACTTTACAATCTTTGTGGTAACATTTAAACAAATCGTAAATAGGATTCAACATGTAATAAAGGGGAATAATTTGTGAGAGGACAAAGGCTTTTGTCACTAGAAAGTGCATGTTTCTAAAAATTAGGTTTTCTCTGCTTCTTAACAAAATCATTTTTACAGTTACAATTTAAAGTTAACTGTAATCCAGAAAATGTAAGTTAGAGTTCGGCCCTAATTATGGCAGCCAAGTAGTCTGTTCCAACAAATCTACAAAACTACAACATTAACTTAACTGTTACCAGATATGTGTAATTGCAGGCTTGATCTAAACATACATTTTATTATCATCTGTGCTTTCTGTTGCAAAAAATTAAAAAGCGAAGCCTGCTTTGGTCAGAGCCGAGTAGCCTCTTTAAAGTTTGGCGAATGAAAGCTATTCACTAACAAGTGGACATTTCTTGGAGTCTAATCATATTGTCAAGGTTACTAATAAAGGACCAATATGACATTCTAAAGGGCTTAGTATAAATTACCCCCAAAACAGCGCTTTCGAGCAGTGAGAGAGGTTTTTGTGAACTGCTTCTCCTGAACTGTTTTAGTGTGGGAACTTTAAAAAGTATGCTTCCGGGGTAGTTTTTATAGGAAAAGCAGCAATTGAAGATGCATGCTCTTTCCTCAGACACACTCTGTAAGCAGCTGCTTACCTGCTAGAAATAGCTAAACAGCCATCAGGCTCGAGTGTGCCTGTGTCTGAAAGTGCATGGACTGGAATCCTGCCCAATGCGGAAGACCCCCGTGGGCCCTCCTCCCCCAGTCCCCGCTCTCTGAGAGCCCCTCTGGCTCTGCGGCACTGGCACTCTTGCTTCCGTTAAAGGCCATCTCGGGATCCACGGAGGGCCTAGACACTGATTGCAGACTTCTGTGTTCAGGGAACAAGGACTAATTTAACAATAATTTTTAAAGCATGAACAGCGTCTCATCAAGATTTGACTTTGGACTTGAAGTTTAACGCGCGGGGCCGCTGTGGACACTGTAGAGGGGGTCCTGTCGTGTTGGATCACGGTCTCTAGTTCCGTGCTTCTTTATTTCCACAAGGAAAAAAAATACATGTGTGTGTGCGCGCTCGTCTAAGCACAAAAGATGCTGTGAGGTAAAATGTAACTGTGGCTCAGACAGTAAAGAATCCGCCAGCAATGCAGGAGATGTGGGTTCGATCCCTGGATTAGGAAGAACCCCTGGAGGAGGAAATGGCAGCCCACTCCAGTGTTTTGCCTGGAGAATCCCATGGACAGAGGAGCCTGGCAGGCTATAGTCCACAGGGTCACAAAAGAGTCAGACACGACTCTGACTGAGTCAGAGTTGTTCTGACTGAACAACTATCAGAACAAAATGCAACTACTTTTTTTTTCCATTTATTTTTATTAGTTGGAGGTTAATTACTTTACAATATTGTAGTGGTTTTTGCCATACATTGACATGAATCAGCTATGGATTTACATGTATTCCCCATCCCGATCCCTCCTCCCGCCTCCCTCTCCATCCCATCCCTCTGGGTCACCCCAGTGCACCAGCCCCGAGCACCCATCTCATGCATCCAACCTGGGCTGGTGATCTGTTTCACCCTTGATAGTATACTAGTTTCAGTGCTGTTCTCTCTGAACATCCCACCCTCGCCTTCTCCCACAGAGTCGAAAAGCCTGTTCTGTACATCTGTGTCTTTTTTTCTGTTTTGCATATAGGGTTATCGTTAGCATCTTTTTAAAAAGATGGCAACTACATTCTTGAATTCACTATTACTAAATCCAAAAGGACAACAGCTTTGAAAAAGAGGATCATATCATAAACCTCAGTGGATCTTAGGTAAAGATGAGGTGCAGGACTGACCTTCATAACAGGTCTGAGCGGAAGTGCCTACCGGCTGTTGGACCAGCACTGGGGTGTGTGTTGACATTTGGCCAAGTGTTCTCAGGGTGACTGAAGGGAAGACATGATTATTCTCCATGTTTCCAAAGCAGCAAACAGCTTCCTTTGTGTCACTGTCAAGGCATCCCCCTCTTTGACAGTGTAGTAGTGCTGGTTGCTCAGTCGTGTCCGACTCTTTGAGACCCAACAGCCTATAGAACTAGGCTTCTCTGTCCATGGGATTCTCCAGGCAGGAACACTGGAGTGGGCTGCCATTTTCTTCTCCAGGGGATCTTCCCAACCCAGGGATTGAACTCATGTCTCCTGCATTGCATGCAGATTCTTTACCATCTGAGCTATAGGGAAGTCCTACTCTTTAAAGAACAACAAATATCCATGAACTTCAGGGAAACTTTCTGAAAGCTCAAGTTATAAACTCCCAGAACAAAACACAGAAATAATACAGTAAATTAAATTGCAAGAGAAAACCTGTTGGTTTTATTTTCAGAAGACATCTTGGGTGACCAAACAGAGTGGTGAGTTTGAGACAGAGGAGTCTCTGGTCAGAGGGAGACTTGTGTAGCCACCGGACCAGGAACTCGGGGACCCCTCTCCTGTCTTCCGTCCTGAAGGCAGCGCTGGCTACCACTGCCACAGCCTGAGCCTGACCTTGGTGTAAAGCCAGCAGTGTGAACTGGAGGCTGGATCGGCTAAAGGACTAGACCTGGAACTGTCCAGTGTGCCAAGAACAGAAGTCCCAGCGAAGCAGGAAAGCACCGGGTGGTGGCCATCAGCAGTGACAGGAGAACCAAGGAGGCTTGGGGAGCGGCAGGGGTGACAGTGGACAGGAGCCCCCTTGACTCCCCCCAGCTGGGGGCCAATTAGACTCCATCCCGAGGTCCATGTTTAGTGAGAGCCTCCCTCTGATGTTTCAGAGATGATGTTACAGAGATGAGGACTTTAAATCAAACTGCACTTCCTTTCAAAGCTAGTGAAACTCTTATAGGTTTGGCATTGCAAAGCTACTTCATCACTTTCTCTGCCAAGATTTTTAAAAATTTAAGATGATAATAGAACAATTGATTGCTGGGTCCCTCCAGGACATATTGTATTATGACTGTTACCAGCACGAGGACTGAGTGTCCGAATCCCAGCAAACTCAGACCAAAGCTGGGGAGGAGCCCAAGCTGTGTTGTGGGTTTTCTTAAGGTGTCAGCAATTCTCATGCGACTGACTGCATTTTGGAACATAATCTCAGGATGTATGCAGAGACGGGATGCCATTCTCCCAAGCAGGGGTGGCTGAGGGACTGGTGAGCACAGGGATGAGGGATGACCCGTATCTGCCAGCTGTTTGATGCAGGCACCAGCAGAGCAGCTCTGGGTCCTTGGGGATCATA